TATATAGTATATATTATATATTTTATATATATTTAATATCTAATACTATGTAATTGTAATAATAACAGAATAAAAATATAAAATATAAAATATAAAAAATACAAAAAATATAAATATAATAAAAACGTAACTAAAAATTTCGAATTTACGAAAAAATTTGGGAAGGAAGGAAGATAAGTTCATTTAAATATAATTATAGGAAATATCGATAAATTATCTTCTAATCTATCGAGGAAATTTTCTACCTTTTATCAATAAATCATTTAATAATTTGATTTCTCTAGCTCATTGATTGAAATCATTTAAACGTTCGTTACGAAAAATTAACCGGAAACAGGATAAAATAAAAAAATATCATTGAAATATGATACATTGATAAAGTATTTTACAAGAATCATCTTTCCTCTTGTAATCTCGATTAATTATTAAATGAAAACTTCATTTTCTTCAAATGAATCGATCAGAATCGTTTAATCGAAAGTTGGAAATTTGAATATTAATTATATTTGATCATACATTTCTTATTATAAATTAGTCAGCAAGTACGGTGATTTTTTTTAATTGATATTCGATTGTAGTCTTGAAAAACGACATTTTATGTAAATTAAATTGTTGATACAATTACGACGATGAGATAAACAGTTATGAGCAAGAAGTTTGCTCATAACGGGGATTTCCAGGGATTCCAATGTTTTGGATACTAGTAACACAATTTTTTTTTGCTGACGACTAATCGCTTACTTAGAATATCAGCTACTGAATGATACATCAATGCGTCAACTTAATTAACGATGTTTATTTCCACGTATAGTTGTGTTTCCGTATACGTGTATATTATATATTTATACATACATTACCATAAGAGTGTTTATATAACTTTTATAGAAAACATTTCACACGCCAGATAAGCGAGGTCAGTAACATTCATCGATTTCCTCAGACAATTTATTTTTAATTCCTTTTTTATTATTATTTCTACGTTACGTAAAATATTACAATGGAATATAAATATTCTATCTATCACGATTATTTAAAATACATATGCGTGTGTGTATGTATGTGTATATTCTTTTACTTTAGGCTAACTGAGAGTTTAAAAAAAGTATGAATATTTTTGAAAGAAATATTCAAACTTTATGCATATAAAAAATCGTTTTATGCACTTGGTCACACACTGTATATGTCCTTTGTTCTTTATCAGGAAAAATAAATTAGAGCACTTTCTCGTTCGTTATATTCAACGAAGTCCCATCTTTTATTCCACTTTATTTTTTTTTTTTTTTTTACTCTATTTCTCTTTCATTTTCCTTCTTCACATTCTTTTTATCTCTTTCTCTCTTTCATTTTATAAACACGGTTTAGAATAACACATTCAGTCTGTGTTTTTTCTATCAATTAACATTTCAGCAACAGAAATTGCGGATATTTGCATTTTCAATAAACATATTTCTCATATCAATTGATCTTATAATCATTTGGGAAATATTTACCCTACCAAAAAATCCGCTTTATGTTAATATTTGTAATTGAAAATATTTGAAAGTAGGAAAGAACAAAAAATTTATAATAGGTGGTATGAGTTGAACGTATGCAAGAAATAACAATAATGCCAATATATTCAGCGGTATAATTAAATGCAGAAACCGAGATAGCCGTTGTTTAAATTAACGAATACGTTAGTACAAGTAATGATAATACACATTCCGATGAATACCAAACTCTTTGTTATGAAACACGCGTGTTTATACGTTATTATATTTTCATTAGAATTTACACGAGAAAGATTCCATTTATGGGTCGATTTTTACTTCGCGTAATAAGCAGAAAAATTGCATCACAGTGTTAATGTAAATTCGATTATCAATATTTTATACCACCTTTCTCTTTTCTCCTTCTTTCTCCTCCTCCTCATCATCATTGTCGTCGTCGTCACAACGTAACTGATTACATAATAATAGAAACTTGAAGTTAATGACGGTACAAGAGTAGATTAGGGATTTTAATTTCAAATGTAATTAAACGTTTTAAAAGAATTTTTGTGTTCTGATTCAACACCATGAAATGATTGCAATCAAGATTCGTTAGGAATGCTGCGGAATTGACGAACAGAAATTAATTGTTTTAGTTCTTATTTAATTATATTTTTTATTTCCTTATTTGTTGTAATCAGGAGGGAGGGAATAAGGTTTAAAATATAGAAAACGACCTAAGACAAAATTCTATTCGATAACGTTGAATTCTCACGCGATAAAAGATCTTACCTTATCTTATCTTACCTTATTTTACCTTACCTTACCTTACCTACCTTACCTTACCTTACCGTTTTAGAAAAATTTTTCGAGATAAGGATCGTACAAGCCAAAAGTACGGCGGACGTCTAACTTTTATATCAAGGATCTCATGCTACAGGGCAAAATTGTTTCTAATAGAAGCAATATCCGTACGTTATACTACAAAAGTGAAATAAAGAACACACTCGAAGAATACATGGATTCTGTAGGGTACAGTAACGGAGCATCCTTCACTTCGCTTCCTCTCCTGGGAAATAGAATCATTTATTTCTTAGATCCGTTTTCTCTTTTCTCTTTCTCTCCTATATCTTTCTTTTCTTCTTTCTCTCTTTTTCTAACAGTTCCCCCGTTTTTAATCCGGTAATTCCTACAGCAGTCGGAAATGTAATAAGACCGAATATTGCCTTGTCCGATATTTCGAAATTATAATCGTAATGTATGCGAACAAAAAATAAATCTTATGCATATGAATAGAATTTTATCAAATATCTTTTTTATATAGAAAAAGTCAGTGTCATATTGTTCGTTTCCAATGAACTTTGGAAATTACTGAATCGATTTTTATGAAATTTTATTTTGTGTGATTTTATTTAACTTAGGATGTAGGATAGAATTTATATAGCGAATGTTTTTATTTTTTATTGCTAATTTAGAGATTTATTATTTTGAGGTTATCTAAGTTTCTAGGTTCTATAAGTTTTCAATATATGGCGTTGTATTACAATTCAATTATTTTGATATATTCACGTCATACGTTTTCAGATTTACATTTGAATAACTAACCATACTTTTTATATTTTTTCATGTATTATTATTTTATGTATTACTTTATTATATTATATTATTTAGGTATAATAAATATTCCTTTATTATAATATCCTTTATTATTTTATTACAATATTTTATTAAATATATTTTATGTCTATTATATTTATTATATTATGAATTAATACTTTGTGTGTTGTTACATTATTTATACATATTTTCGTTTATTATTATTTTATGTGTTTTTATATTTTATTATTAATATTATTATTATTAATATTCAGACTTGGAGCTTCACAGCACGATCCGGCAAAGCAATGCCACATCAGCGTGTCAGAGGGGCTCATGCGGAGGAGGTCTAAGAAGTGGGCCACGGACCGCTTCAAGGATCTCTGGGTGCAAGGCCCTGGCATGAGGCACACGAAAGCTATGTTTTCAGGGCCCTCGGAGAAGATAGGTACC